TATATCTATGGTGTAGACAGCATCACTGATTATAATGAGTTCTATAGTATTTTGTCACACCGCGTCGCTCGCGTCCGGTGTAGACACGGTGTAACATTGGTTTTGCTTTGTTTCACAGAACTAAACGTTGCCTGGGTTGCATACGTATGTGTGGGGTGGAGCTATCAAAATAGGTGCGAGACCCTTTTGGGGTAGGGGCGTGTTTGTTTTGGTGATTTGAAAAAAAAAAAACATTGGCTACCAGAAATCACTTACCCCACCTTTAATCTATCAAAGAAGAAAAAAAGGATCACTAGAGCTCAGTGAGACTGAAGTAGCATCAATCCAAGCAGTGTGTTTACTTAAATCTCTATATGAGAGGGAGTTAAAGAGGAAGCATTAAAAATGTAATGTCGTTTAACCTCACGCATCCTGTTTAACCTCTGCTGAGTGTCTGTGTGTGAGAGACAATTTATGACTGCTGACACTTGAAACATCAGTAAGACTCACGGTTGTCCATCCTTGTTTGAGGTTGGGTGGAGGCTTTGGCAGCCTGGAGGTTCTTGTCATCGTAGAAGTTGTCCATGTAGTCTTGGCCTTGGAAATGAGAGTCAATGGGATACTCATACTCTTCTTGGTCCTTCACCTTCATTGTGGCTTCCTCCTCTTCAGCTTCCTCTACCTCAGCTGCCTCTTTATCATTGCCTTCCTCCTCCTCCTCTTCTTCTTCTTCCTCTGCTTCTTCCTCTACTACCTCTTCCTCTTCCTCCTCCATATCGTCTTCCTCGATGTCTGTCTCAGGAGAGGGACTGGGAGTGGGTGGCGTCGTTTTCACACTGATCAAGTGGGAAGGATTTTAGAGTTATTTATTTTTTTTAACATATTTTGTCAGTTGTAAATCAAGGTGCAACCAGGGTAGTCTGATTCTCAAAGGAATGATAATCATCTTATAAGATGATTCCTTTTAGTGAATCAAACACACAATGCATCCAGTGTTGTCTGATTCATGTATAAATTACTCTTCTGAGCTGTTTCTATTTAGTCTATCTATCAAACATTCAACGCAGCCAGTGTAGTCTGATTCTCGATCTAATTATTCATATGAGCAGGTTCTTTTTAATAAATAAAAAACATACAGGCAACAAATTAATCAAAAACATACAGACCACCAGTGTAGTCTGACTCCAGAACAAGTGACTTTTATGAGGTGATTCTTTTTAGTGAATCAAACGCATACAGTGAAACCAGTGTAGTCTGATTCTCAAACAAATGACTCTTATGAAGCGGTTCTTTTTAGTGAATCAAACAAACAGCACAACCAGTGTAGTCTGATTCCTAAACAAGTGACTTGGCTCTTTTTAGAGAACCAAACACATACAGCGCAATCAGTATGGACTGATTAACAAATGAGTGACTTATATGAGTTGGTTCTTTTTAGTGAATTAAACACATAGTATCAGTGTACTAATTCCCGAACGAATGATTGATTTAAGCTTATTCTTTTCGTGAATCACATACAGTGCAAACAGTACAATATGATTTTTTAACTTATATGAGTGAGTTATTTTTAGTTAAATCAAAAACATATATTGTAATCAGTGTAAACCGATTCCTCAACAAATGATTCTAATGAGTCAGTCCTTTTTAGTGAATCAAACACATACATATAGTCTGATTCCTGAACAAATAACAATTATGAGTCGATTCTTTTTAGTGAATCAAATATACATCCAAACCTGATTCTTGAACAAGTGACTCATAGCAGTCGGCTCTTTTTAGTGAATCAAATATACATCCAAACCTGATTCCTGAACAAATGACTCTAATAAGTCCCAAACGAATGACTCATATGAGCTGACTCTTTTTAGTGAATCAATCACATACAGTTTACAACTACAGTAACTCTTGAGACTAGTAAATTAGGCAAGTGACTTGGCTCTTTTTAGAGAACCAAACACATACAGCGCAATCAGTATGGACTGATTAACAAATGAGTGACTTATATGAGTTGGTTCTTTTTAGTGAATTAAACACATAGTATCAGTGTACTAATTCCCGAACGAATGATTGATTTAAGCTTATTCTTTTCGTGAATCACATACAGTGCAAACAGTACAATATGATTTTTTAACTTATATGAGTGAGTTATTTTTAGTTAAATCAAAAACATATATTGTAATCAGTGTAAACCGATTCCTCAACAAATGATTCTAATGAGTCAGTCCTTTTTAGTGAATCAAACACATACATATAGTCTGATTCCTGAACAAATAACAATTATGAGTCGATTCTTTTTAGTGAATCAAATATACATCCAAACCTGATTCTTGAACAAGTGACTCATAGCAGTCGGCTCTTTTTAGTGAATCAAAAACATAATTTGATTCCTGAACAAATGACTCTAATAAGTCCCAAACGAATGACTCATATGAGCTGACTCTTTTTAGTGAATCAATCACATACAGTTTACAACTACAGTAACTCTTGAGACTAAAATGTAAATTAGGATAAGTTTTGTAAGAATTATTTTAGATATTATTGAAATCTCATCATTTGGTAAAGTACCTGCATTTCCTTTTCTATATATTTATTCCTTAAAAAAAAAAAAAAAAAAACGGAACCAGAAACTTATAATATAACAGAATACAACATTTATTTACCTGGTGACCACTTTTTCACCAGCCATTGACACGAAAGGTGTTGTTTCTCCTTGTACAGTGTCTGTAGTCTCTGTCTCTCCCCGTCCACTCGATCCTGCCCTGCCGGGGCAGCAGACGTACTCCACCCCACGGAAACGGTCACCACACGGCAACAACATCCCATAACTATGCAGCTCCAGACTGTCAGCTGTGCAGGCCTGATGAGCAGAGCAAAAGATGAATGACTGTGGCAGTGCTTTAAAAACTTTGAAGTGCATTATTTCTTTTTAAAATCTTTTTGTAATTGCGCGTACGTGTCAGGGTGAAATGACCTACAAAATTCAAATGGGAAAACTTTAAGTACCAGGAGATACCGGTGATAGTGCAGAGAGGAAATGAGAATAGAAGATCATAGATCACAGCGGGACTGCAATTTCACATGCACCAGACTAACCATTAAAGATGTGAAGCTATTAAAGTTGAATTAATACTTTTCCAGGTTGTAATTTTGTGAGCTTTTCTTATTTACCTCTTTGGCGATGTTGTGCCAGTACACGTAGCTCTCACAAGAATCCATCTGCTCCTGGTGTAAGAAACGGCAACGATCCGGGACCAAGAGTGCCTCACTGACATACTCACCCACTGAAAGGCAGAGACAATTACATAGGGTCATAAAAAAAAAAAAATGACATTATTAATAAAGGATGTACACGAGTAAGATTTTTTTTTTTTAAAGAAATTAATAGTTTTACTTAGCAAAGATGCATTAAATTGAACAAAGGTGACAGTAAAGATGTTGTAATGT